GACGACGGACCGGAGCTTATAGACAATCGCAATTAGAAACTGTATATGCTTTTGACAGAACTGCCAAGTAGGAACAGGACAATCGGACCATGTGATAGGTTTTACTGCCAGATGATGTTCTCTGGGTGTTCAAGGCGTAAATGCTTAGAGGCGTTCGAGAGGTCTGTTATGGACAGTTGTGCGTGCACTTGTGTTCACATACGTGTCATTCGAACACGTTTGTCTTTCTCTCGGGAAGATTATACTTGGGAGTTCACAAGAGCCAGAACTTGTGTCATGTGGCATCCAACACCGATGAATCCTAGTACAACCATAACTCGCGTCAGAGCTTTCACTCTTCAGCATGGACCGACGAGAGTGTAAAGGGTCATTTTGGCCAAACTATTGTCAAACCAACTTTCTCAACATATTTTAGGAATAACTTCAATACAGGTTGTTTTCATCAAGAGGAAATCCCGAATCCAACGCTGTAATTTTAAAGTTGGGGTTGCAATCAGGCAATATTAAAATTTTTAAAATTAAATCAGACGAACTTTTAGTTGCCAGAATATTACACAACACTCAGAGTGTGTAAAGGAGTCTGTGCACCATAAGTCTAAAGACTTGGGTTTGACCTCAGAAATGAGTACCCTGAACGTGACTGGTGACCCGAATCCTGACAGTATAGCCTTGCTCGAGGTTTTCAAAAGTGGTGACATTTTCCCTCAACGTTTTGGCTTTTGAATCTGCACGTTCGGATTTTTTCACTCAAAATACGAGAAACTTTGTACGCAAGGACAGACTACTGGTCGTTGGCTTGTTCGCTGAGCTGGGCAATTCGATCGCAAACATTTCATCACCAATCGAGTTGACACCATCGGTGCGTTATTGGGGAGCGTAGTGGCGCGTAGCGGCGGGTTAGTGCTTATTGTTTACGCAATAACTTACAAGAACCGTGTCCGCTAATGTTTTGACACCACAAGAACTTCCAATGCATTTCGACGAGGAAGGTAGCTAGAATACGTGCTATAAACTAGTTACTATAGATGGCTCAACGATAACAGTAACAGATTATAGTAATAAACCGTATCCGATGAGTAGAGCTCAGTTTTCCTGGCATAAAACAAGATATATACTAATTAACTGGTAGTTGCGTTCCACAGACTAGGCCGACCCACCCAAACTGTGGTTCTTGCATGTGAGTACGTTGGCTTCCGTTGAGGCGGTCCGCAGTGGATGAACAAATATTAGGTGACCAACTGCCGGCCAACCGACTCATTTCAAGTTTGAGAAATCCATGTTTTGAAGGAACGTTGTTGAGAGCGCCTAACGAGCGGCCGCTTAGGGATTCTGCACACTATGTAAATTCGCAGCTAATTTTGGTTAGGGTCGTCGGAAGAGATGATTGATACCAAATTCGACGCGACAGTTGTTTCTGTCCCCAGGTCATTCGAGACAAAAGAACAAGTACAGCGAAAGCATGTCTGCAGCTGACGTTGACTGATTCGAAAGAGCGTAGTGTCGTCTTAAAGTTTGTTGTAATCTAATATTTACTCGCAAACAAACCCAACTTGCTTACTTTTCTTATCCTCTAGGTATTTAATACTGGGGGAGCATCTTGCTAGTTTTGCAATCAGTATTTGTTCTGTGTCTGTTTTAAAGCCAGAACACAGCGTGGTGTAAAAAGTGTTATAATCTGACACCTCAGTTGCGTTGCCGTGACTTCTTTAAGGATTTCTACGATCAATCATTTATGTTCTCTTTAAATATCATTCTCTAGATTTTGACAAAACCTTTAGAACAGAACTGGGCATACATATGTTGCGAGATGGATCTCTTTTTTTCTACAGTAAGGAGGAAGATAATATACTGAATGCAGCTTCAGTGCAATCCGTGTTAAAATTTTGAAACTATACTACTAGCTTCAGGTTTTTGAAATATAATTTCACTTGTTTTCAAATGTTCCAAATAGTAAATTGAGTTCCAAACGTCCATTACCATGGGTTTCAAAGAGGCCTCTCACAACCCAGTGAGAATGGTCTTTAATTAGCGTTCGCCTTTACCAATAGAACTGTCCAAGAGGTCGGAAATTACTTGTTTGACTAACGAAGATATTCAATGAGTCACCTGATTCCTCTCGTAATAGCCCTCTGTATTTGAATTCAAGAAGAGCATGTGCGTTCTTACTAGTCAAATTCTCACACATGAGTCAGTAAAAAACAGTCTTCCCGTAACTCATTTCTCTCATCGACATGCCGATGAAACAAACTTTTCATAAAGTAGCGTCTGATTCCGATTACGTCCTGTGTGATGATGTGAACATACATACAATTATGAATAGGCGCATGAATAACGGGGTACATTGGTAGGCCAGACACACTGAACTCAATGCTTGTGTTAAACTATGGGCGGCAAGAAGAGGAGGCCACAAAATGCACTTAGTCCAGAACACAGAGGTGTTCATTTGAGACGTCTTCTAAAGTTTAAAACTGAGGAACATTTGTTATTGGACTAATCATCTGAAATTGGGATCAGTTCTCTTAATCTGTTCCTCAAACTTTATCAGAATCTTTAGAGCGCGTAACAGGTAGTGAAAAAATAGATTTCGGCATTCCGACAAATGAGCAATCGTACGTAACGAGACTAGTGACAAACAAGTATTGAAGAATTCCTAGTAATTATAAT